TGCTGAACCCTCCCACCTGCTTTTCCTTTTCCGCAAACCTTCCAATCAGATGTTCCTTTGCTTGCAGCCTTCCCTACCTGCTGTCTTTTGCCTCCAAGCCTTCCAACCTGCTATTTCTTTGTCGTAAGCCTTTCTCTAGTTGTTGGCCTTTGCCGCCAAACCTCCAACTACTGTCTTTGACTGCCATGGCGCCCCAAAATCCTTTCTTTCCACAACCACGCCCCCTTACTGTAGCCTTCCCACTACCTTTGAACCAAGCTCTAGTTGGGTTTTTGTGCTGTGTCTCTGTTGTTTCCTATTTAGGCATTTGTCAGTTATAACCGCTGTTTGCTTTCAATAATAAAAGTTGCATTTCACGTTGTTTGCTTCACTCAGTATCATTTGATATCAGAGCTAGCCTAACCCTAGTCCTATCATAGGGTTTCTAACACCCGCCATACCCAAACTTATCTCCACCCCTCTTAACCACCCCCTAAAAAATTTTCATTTCCCTGCACCTTACACACCTGCTTTCACCTACCTACACCCAAAATCTTAACCACGCCCCCAAAGAGACAATTAACAGAATTTGATCATGAATCTATCATGCATGACATACAATAACTACCCCACCAAGTGTTACATCAACTCGATGACATTGAGGAAAGAAGTTAGGCGGGATCACTGTTGACCGTAACAGTGAAATCTGTGAAAGAGAACAAGAACACCTGAATCTTTTTCGTATGAAAGATTCTAGTAGAGAAGAAGACAAACCACAACGCTTTGAGATATAGTATTAGTGGAGGGCTATAGACGAGGTGTTTACTGGAGGATGCATATATGAGATGTTTGTTAGAAGATACAGAGATCAGGTGCCTATTAGAGTATACAAAGACGGAGTGTCTGCTAGGAGATACAAAGATGGCATGCCTATTGGAGGATACACATATGGAGATAAAAGTTGACCTACTAGACTTCAAGAGGAGAGTGGATCCAGATGATTTCCTCTTGTGGATGCAGATTGTTGAGCGAATCTTTAAACACAAAGAGGTCACCAATGACAGAAGAGTGAAGCTCCTCGCAACCATCAGTTAAAGAAAAATATTTCTTTGTGGTGGGAGAATTGGAAGAGGAAGGGACAAAGAGTAGGTTTTTGATACATTCACTTATTGGTAGGAAATGAAGAAGGCGATGCAGTGACAGTATGTACCCCTGTACTATCATCATGATATTTTCTTGATGCTCCACTACCTGAAGCAGGAGCTATCAGTGGAAGAGTACATGACATAATTTATGCAGCTTCAGTTAAAGTGTGAGTCGAAGGAGATAGAGGAACACACTATAACTAGATACTTGGGAGGCCTGAAGCACGCTGTCAGTAATGTGATCTAGCTGCAATACTATTGGACATTGAGGGATGTATAAATCTTAGTACTGACAGTGGAGAGACAACAAACCCTAAACCCTAACTACCGCAATCAGACAACCACCCACATTTGGAGACCTCATGAGGAATATAGTTCAAAGAGTGGAGCTGACTGGTCAGGAGTAGGACAAAGCCACTTAAAGTTAGAAGAAGCTTGAGAATAACAACACACCCACTATAGTTCGTGCCAAGAAATGCTTCAAATGCCATAGTTTTGGGCACATCCCTTCTAGTTACCCGACGAGCCGAGTTTGTCCTTGATCAAGCAAGGTGTGGTGGGGGAAGTAATAAGAGAGGAAGGAGTAGAAGAAAAGGGTGAAGAGCACCATCTTCCACCGAATAAGGTGGGTCCTACAGACTGAGGCTAGAGGGATCAACAATGGCTTCTCCATAACATATTTTACACTTGTTGCACTGTGAAGTGAAATGTATGCAGTCTCATTACTGATTGAGGGAGCAACAAGAATGTGACATCTACACAGATGGTGGGCAAGTTGAGCCTCACGACTCATAGAAATTACCAACCATACTCCCTGACGTGTTTGAGGGAGAAGAACATAGTCAGCATTGACAGGAGGTGCCTCATTGAGCATTTGATTGGAAATCAACCGCAGGACCAGATTTGGTGCGACATGGTGCCCATGGATGTCTATCATCTTTTGTTAGGGAGACGGTGGTAATTTCATCGTTGAACTCAACATGACGGGTTTAGAAATACCTACTGATTATATTTTCATTGCCAGTAGAGAGTGTTAGTAGGATTTGTTTTGGTCATGGTAAAGGAAAGCAGGACAGAGGCGCCAAAAATAGATACAGGCCAACACTACAGAGAGCATGCCAGGATATCATGATTGATACATTACCAACATGGCCGCCATCGTTAGAGGTTCAGACTATTCTCACATCAGGTAGGACAGAGCCAACCAGAGACTATCTTTGGAAGACTTTGTATGGGTAAACTTGGTACGAAGTTCCAGTTTAGTTTAACAGTGCACTCTCATATGGTTGGATCGAAATAGATGATTTCTCACAAGTGGGGAAATTCCTCGGGTGTTTTAGGAGACAGTGTGGATTGATATTAGGATCCAGGTGCTTCTTGGATCGCAGTCAAAGATCTTTCAACCTCAGGAAGTTACAACATATTCGTTACTTTCAACTTGCAGACAGAAACTTCGACAAATGAGTTTGAAGCTCCCATAATCTTGAGAGATTAACGCGGGGTACTTAAACGTGGCAAATTCACGCATAATCGGTTTGGTTCGGGCTGATCTGAGCCAAGGAGGATATGATCTGCCTTCCAAGCATGTATTTTCCTTATATTTGGAGCGAGGCCCACTCGTTTTTTTCCTAGGTCTATATATATGTTATTTATTTTGTTTTAGTGCAGTTTTGAATTCAATTTTTTGTAATGACTGCTGTCGACTTCCCAGTCTTCTTCTCTAGGGTTGTATTCGAAGACGAGAAAATGCTCCGATTGTAACTCGTCTTGAGGTGAGGTTTATCCATCCTTCCTGACATCCCCAACCTTCATCTCAATCTCCCTCCCACCCGCTATTTTTTTGCCGCAAGCCGTCCCTACCTGCTGTCCTTTGCTGCCAAGCCTTCCAACATGTTGTTCCTTTGTCGTCAGCCTTCCCTTAACCAAGTTTCCTTTGCCTCCAAGCCTTCATCGCCAAGCAACCCCAGCATCCTTTCTTTTCCCAACCACAACCCATTACTGCAGCCTTTCCACCACCTTTGAACCAAGCTCTAGTTTGGTGTCTGTTTGTGTTATGCATCTCTGTTATTTCCTATTTTAGCATGTGTTGGTTGTAACCCCTATTTTTTTTTAGTAATAAAAGTTGCATTTCCCATTGTTGTTCGATTAATTCGATATCATTTGGTATCAGAGTTAGCTTAACCCTGGTCCTCTCTTATGGTTTCTAGCAACTACCATATCTAAACCTATCTCCACCACCCCCACCACCCCCCCAAAATTTTCTTTTACCTCCATTCTACTCATCTCCCTTAACTTACCAACACCCAAAACCCTATCCATGCCCCCGAGGAGACAATTACTGGAATTTGATCAGGAATTTACTATGGATGATATACAATGACTACTCCATTAAGTGATACATTAGTTCAATGCCTTTGAAGAAAGAACTCAAAGGGGGATCATCATCAACCGTAACAGTGAAATCAGTGAAAGAGAGTACGAAGAACACCTGAATC